TCGTGCCCAGGATCCAACCGGTAACCCAAAAAAGCAGGAGGCTCACCAACGGGAGTACGTGACCTACGTCTCAACAAAATCATCTGACGAAACGAGGTTGACAGGAGAATCAACCTCCATGATGTTGCATCGTTGACCGCGACGCACAACTAGCCTGTCGTTATCAGGGGTTTCTAGCGATCGGTGAATAGTTCGGGGACCCGAACCACCACATACCCAGAAAAACACAAAAAAAATCAAACAACTACAAAAAAAAGAAACACAGCAGTAGCACGAGGAAAAGGGAGGCTGACAAGGGAGACGTTAAAAAACCACGTAATGCTGATACGTCAAGAAACAACACTGTGGGACACACTTCGAAAAAAAAACTACGCTAAAAAATGATTCCCTGAGACGATTCACCCTTCCGTCTTATTTTTCGGTGGTACGCAGAACTCACCAGGACAAAGACTAACCCCGAGGTTCTCAAGGAGGAAGAAAGACCATAAAATAATGTATTCTTCATGACGAACGACGACACTCGATGACATCGGAACTGAAAAAGTTTCGTAAGTGCGCTCGAATACCACAAAGACCACAAAAAAAACAGCAAAAAAAAAACCAAAAAAAATAGTCTCATCCAAACGATATCGGTACTTTGTTTCCTCCTCAAAAAAAAAATAAAAATAAAAAAATAAAACGTAATCTGTTTTAACATAATTGTTCAAACCATCCAAAAAGAAATAAACTCATACTTCCCTACAATTCGTAATCAAATCTTCGTTGACGAAAAAATAGAGAAAAAATAAATAATAAAAAAATAATGGGAAAAATATAAAAAGGGAAAAAAAGAAAGAAAAAGGAAAAAAGAAAAGGTAAAAAAGAAAAAATAATCGTTCGCTTCAATAAAATTTTCTGAAGAGCCGACAAACGGTTCGAATTACTACACTTTTGCCCTCGCCCGTTCGAAAACGAATCCCAGAGCATATCTTATGGTCAATTCCTGCGAGCCAGTTTCACGTCTAGACACTCGTATTTGTTGCCAACTCGAAACCTTCATCGGTTCTCAGCTCAATTTCAGAGAACATACACTTCGACGGAGTCAAAAAGATAAAAAAAAGTTTATAAAAAAAACTACGAAAACAAAAAGAAAGACATTTTATGTGTATGGAAGCTTCAAGTTTAATATGAAAGAAAAAAAATTAAAGGAATAAATGAAAAAGGGGGAAAGTTTAAAGAACAAAGTGATCGACATTTGTTTACGCATCGATTTAAAAAAAATAAATAACGTCATCAAAATTACAGTATACCTGTATATTGTAGATCTTGCTAAATTAAAGGTTTTTAGTAATTGGTATTCGACAAATCATGTAAAATTTAGTATCTGAATGATTCGATGTGTCCAATTTTATTAATATTTCTTGAAATTATTATAAAATAATAAAATAATAAATAAACAAATTAAGTATACATGAAATAGTAAAAAGCAAAATAAAAAATTTATATTGATCATTGGTAAAAAGAACATCAAGAGCGTTGATTTTGTCATCTATTTTTTTAAATTTATTTATAGCCAAAGAATCTTCTGAAGCAATTGTATCTAATATGAACAAAATTATTAATTACTCTCTCTTATTATTATTTCAATTATAATTTCTTACCTTGAGAAGCATCCTCATGTATTAAAGAGTCCAAATTTAAAGTTAACAAATTATTAGATTCATTTTCCAGTTGAGATAACCACAAAGAATTCGAAAAATCCAAATAATAAAACCAATCTATTTGATTTGGCGGAAATAGAGGATTTCTTGGTTCAAATGACATTAAGTTTTATTCGTTTTGTGTAATTAGAAGTGAAGTTAGTTTATTGTTAAAAATTTTGAACTACACAAGAGTCAGTCGATAAATTTATAGTTTTGACAATTCACATGTAAGCGTATCAATAAATCATGACTCAACTGTTGAGTCAACTTATTATTTAGCAATATAAAACATACAAACAAATATAAAAAGTATTCCATTCATTTTTACAATACAATTTATGAAATTTATATTACTGAACGTTTATATAATACAATATTAGGTTTTTTTAATCAATATTCGGTTATATGATAAATTACTGTAATAGTTTTTATATATTTCACGTGATTTGTAATTTTTATACAGAATTATATTAAAACCGGTTTATAATAATCCACAGCTAGTGAATATTCACAGATTTAAAGTAACCCGTAGATAATTTATATTATTTATAATTTACACGTTGTACCACTAAATATAATTCAAAAGAGATAATCTCTCGACAATTGCCATTCAAATTTTTGATATGACTTTAATAATAGCGATAGTGATTCTAAAGCCTGAAATGGAATTCATCCAATGAAGTACACATGACGACAAAGGGAAAACCCCAAATTTTTATCTAATAAGAAATACAGGCATATAATAAAAACGAATACACGAACATAGTACGTATCAGTTTTTTTTTTGATAATGTACAGAATAGTATATTTCACAGTTATATATTTTAGTCAAAATATGTAATATATTACAAAATTTGTAACACACTAGTTTAAGTATCATGTGCATTTAGTGTTAATAATACAAATTAATATCCGGTTTATCTTATTATTGGATAAAAAAAATTATAGATATGCACTGCCTGATATTATATTTATACATATATAATAGATTATATATATAATATTGTCATTAGTATTATATGCTTTTAAAAGCCTTTCTTTTTATTATAAATACTGAATTACAACTATTTAATATATCTTTTTTATCCAATTATATATTATATAAAAATTATCTGACACTAAATGCTATACTGCATTAAAATAAATGTAACATATCTTGCCTCAGAATAGTATTGTATAATTTTTTTTTTAGCTGGTTAACATGAGTCGTAATTGATCTAGGTGCGGACATGTGATATAAAAAAATATAGTTACAAGATTTATTTAAATTCGAGAAGTTGAACGAAGTGTTTACTTCAACACTTGTATTAGTGTTTGTTTTACACTAAAATAACGATGAATTGTATGTATATTTAATAAAATCTTGTATTAAATAATAATGAGAGTGACTATATAGTTGTTTTAGAATATGAATTGCGATTTTTCGGTGAAACTCCGAGTACCGATATGTGTAATTGGTGTTGTAAGAAAAAGAATGAATGTCCTTGTCCTTGTCCTGAATATAAGAAAAAATTTGGATATAAGAAAGAGAAGCCTCCACCTGAGAGTAGTGTGGAAGAAAGTGATGATGAATATTATAAATGGAAAAATAATTGGGAATGGGAGAGCACTTATCATAAAAATTATAAATGGTGTAAATTATGTTATGAAGCTAAACGTTATAGTAAAAGTACTAGTCATAATTCTTATAATTGTAGATATAGGAAAACGGAACCATTTGTGAAAAAATTTAAATGTTCGTTTTGTTCTAAGTTATATTTTCCTAAATATCATGATGAAGGTTTCATATGTTGGAAATATCTTCCTTATGATGATCCTAGATGTTGGAATCCCAATTGGTATAAAGATGATGAAAATAATTAGGTTGAAAATTATCAAAGTAAAATTTCATGTAATTTTGATTATGTGAATAATTCTGTCAAATTTTTATTTGTAATGTTGGCGCAATTAAAATTAAAATTTTAATGATTTGCCCGAATTTAAAAGGCCCATTTTTGAGATGATTATGAGGTAGTAAAACCGTTAAAATGGGGTATTTTTTGATTTTTTATATAGCAAAAAACTTTCAGATTCTACCTCTATATAAAACTATTACTGTACCGTATCTGACTAAAATTTTCTCCTTCAACTGCTACTACCCTTAAATTTTTTATAATCAAGATACGAAAATATAATACGTGATCATATGATTATGCAGTCCCATGGGTCTGCGGGATCATGTGATCTTATTGGTCGATGTAACAAATTTCAATGAATTTTTTATTTATTTGAATTCTACGAATCCGTAGAATTCAAATAAAAAAAAATTATCGGATTTGGTCATGTAGTAGTCAAGATACCTTTGCTCAAATTCGTTCGCTCCGAGGCGCCATAACATTTATAAGTTCCTAAATATTCCGAAATGATTACGGAATATTTCGAAACTATGCGACTGTACGTACTGTATGCTAAAAAAATCTGAGTATCATATAAATGGCACATCACTAACTATAACCGGTTGTAATAAGTATAAATGCTTCAGATATTATGATAATTTAATAATCAAAAGAGTGCTTGACATTTATTATAAATTGAATGTTGTAGTTATTAAATAAAATAGATAGTCTTGGCCTGGCAATATAAAAATTTTTAAACAGAAATTACGTTTTTGATATCTTCATGAATAATGCACATGAATAGCTTTATGTATTAAACCAAATCTGGAATTAATCAGCGTGTAATTTTAATCAAATAAAACATTATATAAAGATCCGCTCTCGCACTACTCTCAATTTTTTCAAAATTCTTTGTAAAAGAAAAAACAATTAAACATGTCTCAAAATTTCTATCCCGATCTTTCAGGATCCAATTACGAAATTGCTAAAAGTCTTGCACTCATAAGATTAAACCATGTGCTGTTTTATTTTGGCGTAGAATTATATCCTATTAATATAAAGGAAGAAGAAAGTTTCATTGATAATGCAAGACAAGAACTTAATAAACACGAAAATTTCGACGTGTTAACAACTAATTTAATATATATATACATGTTTTTGAATATAGTATATTCTTTCACTATAATGAAATTCGGACTCCCTGGCGAACAATTATCCGAAAATCTTTTTATTATCATAGTAAAATATATAATCATGTTTTGTATCTTTTCTTTTTTCATAGGACCTCCCATTTTTTTACTTTACATACTTGGGTTTTTTTTCTCACATATATTTCTACACATTTTATTAAAAGCGCATCCTGAGGTTTTCGGTCTGATTCTTTATTTTCTTTTGATTATTTTTATTTTCATCTTATTTTTTCTACTTATTATGTATCCTATCTTATCTAAATTTATACATTTACTTTTTTTATATAGTATAATTCATTGCACTTTCATGTTTTTTGGTTACAAATGTCTTTTCATTTCATTTGTCTCCTTTTTACTTTTTTTGTATTTTGCCGGTGATCTATTCTACATTCTAATAATATACCCCGCATTCATTTATATATCATATTACTTCATGATTCGACTGGACGTTACAAACATTCTAGCTTTATCGTTAATATATGTTGCAATATGTAATTTCATTTGCCGTTACATAATAAAATGTTAAAGGAGAAATTGTACTGCATATATATTGATAACTCAAACCTTCGTCATATATTTTTTTAATTTAATTTTTCGTTTTATTGATAATAAATTCTGAAAATATTACAAGAAATACAACCATTTCACCCCTAGTCATTTTAATCTAAAACATTAAGAATTTACAAACTAAAATTATACAAAAATAAAGTAATTTTTTTAAAAAAAAAATGAAAGATAAAATGGATTAAATATAGAATAGATAACACTTCCGGCAAGTTTTCAGGAACGAAGAATTAGCAGTATCACAATCGTGAAATGTGACGTACACCACTTCATGTGACCAATTTTAAAATTGGTCACATGAAGTGGTGCTACATCACATTTCACGATTACGTGATACGGTTAATTCTTCGTTCCTGAAAATTTTGCCAGAAGTCATCTATTCTATATTTGATTCAATAAAATTATAAATATCAAAATTTGAATACAAGTATTAAGTTATCGAGATTCAAGACTTTCTATTCTGCCAAAAAAAATGTTTTTTTTTATTTCCCCTTTGCTTCTTTGTTTTGTTTAGAATTCCTTCGTGTATCGGAATTAATCGTTTATGAATATAGTTATCAAGATAGTAAATATTCGGTTCAATAGTTTCAATATCGTAATCGAAATTGTTAAAAAAATTTAAGGCAGTTTTCGGCTAATGATGAATCGATTGTCTTCAATTTTGCTATAAGTCTTTCAATCTCCATATTTGCCAAAGTTTTTCTCTTCGTTATATTCTTGGAATTTCGATTCTTTAAGCTTGACTTTGATTCAAGGTGTTCAATTTTCGTTTCATTTTTTGATTCAAGCGTCTTTATTTTAAGTAGTTTGTTTTCTTCGTTTGTGCCAATTTCCTTTACCAAATCAAATACTTCTTGAGAAGATTCAGTTTTGGATATATAGATAAACAAATCGATAATAGAATATAAATAACAAAAATATAAAAATATTTTAAGATAGCAAATGATATTGAAGAAATCCATTTTGCGATTTCTGCACAGCCTGAAAGGTACTTTTATCAATTTTAAATAAATTCTTTGAAATCCAATTTCTGCATAACTTATTCTCTTGAACAATCTTCTTTAATGATTGTAGAAAACTTGTTTATATGAATCAAAAAGAGAAGTTTTTACATTTTCTCAAGACTGGATGCATTATCGCGCAGCATTTTTGAGGCTTAGTACATGTATTAAACGCTCGCTTTGTTCTCTGCTATTCTTACATAATAATTATAAAAAAACTTGTTTTTCAAAAAAAAAAAAAAATTCTCAGGATCTAATTTTTCGCAAATGTGCATTATCGCGCAGTACTTTGAGGCTTAGTTCGTACGCGTATTTAAACGCGCTTTGTTTTTGGTACAATACAATTAAGTGAATTATAGCCGTTTTAATAATTAACGTTCATTCAACATTACGTACAAATTAATCAAAAAAAATCTTTATTTTTAATTCAAAAAAAAAATAAAAAAATAAAGTTAGAGAAGTATCTTTTATTGACTCAAAAAATTTTTCACAACAAAGACCTGAATTTTCGCAAATGTGCATTATCGCGCAGCATATTTGAGGCTTAGTACACGTATTAAAACGCGCCTTGTTTTATGATTCCTTAATATATTCCTGCAACGCAATTAAGTGTGAGTTATATATATATCTGAATTTACTTTTTACATGATAAATTCGGCACCGAAGTACAAGAACAGTCACGTGTTTTAGTACTGTAACTAAATAACTGAAATATTGAACTGATAAATTATTGCCAGTACTTAATTCGCGTCAAGAAGCACCTAATCCTCGTAGCGATGATGAGCATATTTCGATATTAGAAGATAATCAACAAGATAATCCTGATCCTCATCAACAAGAAATTCCTGATTCGCGCCAAGAAACACCTACTCCTAATTCTCATAGCGATCAGGATAATCAAAATAGTAGAAATATTTATAACCATTCAACGTTTAATAACTGCACTTTTAATAATTATTATTATTCGTGATGAGACTCTTAATTGATTATTTTAGTCTGTTTTCAGCCAATCAAAGGCATTCAATAAAATAATTGTTTTATATTAGTAATAGGCCCTGATTAAATAAAAAATAACTTATATTCGGTTATATGTTTTTTTATATTGCTAAATAATAAGTTGACTCAGCAACCGAGTCATGATTTATACGAAAAATTACACGTGATTTGTCAACACTATAAATTTATCGACAGACGCTTGTGGTAGTTCAAAATTTTCAATTAACAATAATAAAATCTTAAATTTTATCTTCTTTTTAATCACATAAAACAAATAAAAATGTCATTTGAACCAAGAGAATACCCACCCAATCAAGAAGAAATTTACTTTAATAATTTATATCCTTCACTGAAAAATGAATATAGTTCATTAGCATTACCGGTAGTTTTTTCTCAAGGTAAGAATTTATAATTAAAATTTAATGGTGAGAGAGACATTAATTATTAATTTTGTATAGACACAATTATTTCCGAATCTTCTGAATATTTTTCGGCCAGTGAATCACCAACAAATGAACTTGAAGTTCTCAAAAACAATGTTAACATCCTAGAAGAAGATTCATTGACCATGATTGAATTAAAAAAAATTAGTGACAAAATCAACGCTCTTGATGTTCTTTTTATTAACGCTCAATATAATTTTTATATATAGCCTTTTACTCTTTCATTTATGCTTAATTTGTTTCTTTATTATTTTTATCATAATTTCAAGGATGCATACCTTTTTATATATTTTCAAGAAAATTAACACTGAATACACCTTATCAGAAGCATGCATTCTTCATTATTTTTGTAAACTAATGTTTGACGTGAATATGTTTGAACCTAGATTAGTGAGAATTTTCAAAAGCAATTCTCTTTTGAGCTTTT